TGGGTTCAAGCAATTCTTGTTCCTCAGGCTCCTGAGTAGCTGGGACTGCCACAGTGCCTGGCTAGTTTCTCTATTTTTAATAAAGACAAGGGTCTTACTTTTGCTCAGGCTGTTCTCAAACTCCTTAGCCCAGATGATCCACCCACCTCAGCCTCCCAGTATGCTAGGATTATAGGTATGAGTCATTGTGCCTGACAGTATTTTCCATTTTAAATGAAATATATATTCAGGATGAGGTCCCATATCACACCTACTATGTTGGCAACAATCAAAAAGACAAAATCTAGTGTTGACAAGAATGTGGAGAAATTACTAAATGGTGCACCTACTTTGGAAAACATTCAAACAGTTCTTGAAATGTTGAACATGGAATTATCATATACAAACCCAAAACATACATCCACATAAAAACTTGTATACAAATGTTTATAGCAGCATCATTCATAACGGCATCATTCAAAGCGAAAACCACCCACATACCCATCAATGAAGAGATAAGGAAATGTAGGCATATCCAAACAGTGGAATATTATTTGACAGTAAAAGAGGTGAAGTACTGTATTTGCTACAACATGGGTGAAGCTTAAAAACATTTTGCTAAGTGAAAGAACCCAGTCACAAATGACCAAATGATGCCTGATTTCATTTATATGAAATGTCCAGAGTAGGCAAGAGGGCTGTGCCTGGGGACAGCAGGTAGTTTAGTGGTTGTCTAGGACTAGGGGGTAGTGGATGGGGATAGGGAATGATGACTAATGGATGGATTTTTTTTTTTTGTCAAGATGAAAATGTTCTAAAACCAGACGGTGGTAGTTACACAACTCTGAACATACTGGTACCACTGAATTACACATTTAAATGGATGAGTTTTATAGTATATGGATTTTATCTTAAGACATTAAAATGTAAAATAATACACAAGCATTCTCTCTCTACATGCAGTATAGCAGTCTGGATCAGATCCTGGAACAGAAAAAGAACTTAAGGGGAAAAACAAGTGAAATCCAAAGTAAAGTTTGGAGTTGAGTTAATAGTAATGTACACGTGTTGGTGTCTTAGTATTGACAGATGTGCCATGGTTACATAAGATGTTAACCCTGAAAAAACTGGGTGAGGGACAGAGAGGGGGGTACCTGAGAACTTTCTGCGCTGCCTTTGAAACCTGAAGTTGCAAAGTATCTGAAGTTACTACAGTGCTCTGTATTATTTTCTGTCAAGTTGTTCTTACAAAATAAAGTTTATCAAAATACTTTCTAAAAATACATCTGGGGAATTACAGAAAAGTTGGAAAGAAATATTAGTTGTCTCTTTTTGATCATTTAAGCATAACCACTCACTTAAAATATAGTGAGATAGCCAGGACACCTGTAATCCCAGCACTTGAGAGGCCGAGGTGTATGGATTGCCTGAGCTCATGGATTCAAGACTAGCCTGAGCCAGAGGGAGACCTCATCTCAAAAAATAGCCAGGCTTTGTGGTGGGCACCTGTAGTCCTAGCTACTTGGGAGGCTGAGGCAAGAGAATTATTTGAGCCCAATTTGAGGTTGCTGTGAGCTGTGACACCGTGGCACTCTATCCAGGGCAACAAAGTGAGCTCAAAAAAAAAAAAAATTCAGTAAGATAAGGGTTTTTCTCCAGAGTATAATCATATCAAGAGATATTTGCTGCCACTGTGCCTAAAATGTTTAACTCTGTCGTCTTATTGTCAAGAACTGTGATAGGTCTGAGATTTCACTCTCCTTACAAACTAAGAAGTTAACTTATACCCTGGCCTGGTTTCCCAGGTGCTGGCAGAAGTTAGGTACTCTAGGGGTCAGAGGCAGATGGGTCATCACACTTCGTGCAGCATGAGCATCAGCGACTCAGTGTGACCTTTGCCCTTGACTGAGACGTTACCTTTTTAATACTGGGCAGTAAACATGCTGGCTCTTTGCTTTGGAAGGAAAGAATATCTTCATCTTTCAAGGCGTTTTATTTACAAACGTTGTTGAAAAGATAATCTAGATAAAAGCACAATCACAGTGCCTTTGCTCACAAGATGTACAGAATGTGAGAGACCAGCTTCCCAGCACTAGTATGTTTTAAATACTGTTATTCAGAAATTAATATATTCACTCAAAGATATTTTATTTAATATTAATGTTGTTCCTTCAGTATTTATATTATTTACTATAAATATTTATATTATCACACTAAGATCTTGAATTTTACTAGAGTTTTCTAAAATGTTGGCCAAGAAAGTTGTAGAAGGTCGTGGAAGGAGAAAGAGCAGTATGATAATTCAGAGTGGTTCATTTCCAGGTTCCTCTGTTGTTAAGGGATCCTCTGGGCCTTTGTATATCCGTCCATTATCCAAACCTGTTGCTGTGTTCATGCAGCCTCTTATCACTGGAATAATGGGGGGAAAGCAGTGTTTTTCCTTCCAACTTCAAAACATTGTTTTATATTAAAGTATACATAGGAATGGTTCTAGTCTCTTGTTTTCATTGTAGGCATAAAAATTTATTTCACATTAAGTAAAATTTGGCTTATTTCAAATGAAGAAAAAATCCTTCTCTTTTGTTTTTTTTTCTTATATGTTTGTTTAAATTATTTAAAAGATGTGGATAGGGTTTGGTAAAGTTACCAAATTTGTGCTTACTGTGTGCACCCAAATTACATTTTAGGAGGGCTGTTTTGTATAATCCCAGGGAACCTGCTGAAGAGTCTTCCATTCAGGAATTGTTGGCATCATTTTGCAGCCTACCAGGAATTGAAACTTGAGCCCCTGGTCCCTGTTGCCTCTTCTCTGTGTAATGGTGAAATCACTGAAATGAACAAATGATACAGTGTTTTGTTTCCCGTGGTTCCTGGTTTGCATGAATATTTCCAAGCAGTTTTATTTATTTCAGCTATTGTCCAAAAGGTATACTTTGACAAAATGTCCCAAGCCATCTGGGCGTGAAGTGTTCCTTATAGGAAACTTTAAAACTATGAATTCAGTGTCTTTAATAGAATAAGGGCCTTTAGATTATCTGTGTTTTGAGTGAATTTTGGTACTTAGGTAGTTTGTATAGTTTCATGGATGTTTCCATTTCATCTAACTGGATAAATTTATTGCAGTAAAGTTCACAATATTCCTTTATTCTTTGGATATCTCTTTTATACCAGTAATCTGTAACTTAGCTTTTGTTCTTGGTCAGTCTAGCTAGGGTTTCATCAATATTATTGACCTTTTCAAAGAACTAACTTTTGGTTTCTTGATTTTGTTTTTCTCATTTTTGTTTTAATGATTTCTGTTCTTTATTTTCTTTATCCTGCTTACTTTGGGTTAATATGCTCTTTCCTTCCTTCCTCCCTCCCTCCCTCTTTTCTTTTTTTTCTTTTCTTCCTTTTTTTGAGACAATCTCATTCTGTCACCCTGGGTAGAATGCCTCAGTATCATAGCTCACAGAAACCTCAAACTCTTGGGCTTGAGCAATCCTCTTGCCTCAGCCTCCCTGAGTAGCTGGAACTACAGGCTCCCACTCAGACATCCAGCTTATTTTTGACAAAAGTGGGGCCTCACTCTTGCTCAGGCTGGTCCCGAACTCCTGAGCTCAAGCAATCCACCCGCCTTGGCCTCCCAGAGTGCTGGTATTACAAGAGTGAGCTCCTGTACCCAGCATTTTTGTAGTTTCTTAGGGTAGAAGTTTAGATCACTGATTTTGAGACCTTTCTTCTTTTGTAATGTAGCACTTAATCTTAAATAATTTATTTGATTCATGGGTTATTTTCTAAAAATCATTTTTAAAAAAACATTTGGAGTTTTTTCAGATGTGTTTCATTTTTGGTTGCTGATTTAATACTATTTTGATCAGAAAGCATACTTTTTATGATGTTAATCTTCTTAAATTTGAGCCTTATTTTATGCCACAAAATATGTTTATTTTGAGGTTTGTTTTATGCCACAGAATGGGAACATTCCACGTGTACTTGAAAAGAATTTGTATTCTGTTACAGGGTGGAATGTTCTGTGTGTTGGTGTAGTCAAATTGGTTGATTTTTTTCAGGTTTTGTATATCCTTGTTTGTACTTGTTTTATCAATTACCAAAAGAAGAGTGTTAAAATCTTCGATGGTAATTTTAAAAACTACACTCAAATTTAATGGAAGTAGGGTGTTAGAATGTTAAGATGGTTGTAAGTTGTGAGGACTACATTTTTTAAATTTGGGGGTGGGTGAGGGAAGTGTATTTGCTTCTTAGAATCTCACAGACTTGGCATTCTGGTACCAATCGTCCTGTTAATTACTTCAACCCCACCCCACCCCCCGAGCCTATTTTCTTTGGATAAATAGAGATATATATATAGAATTTTCAACATGATTTCTGTTGTATAAGAATTCACTTATAGGAATTATTTTTATATGTTTTAAAACTTGCAAGCTAGCATATCAAATATATATAAATATTTGGTCAATTCCATCTGTTAACTTTTTTTTTTTTTTTTTGAGACAGTCTTACTGTGTCACCCTAGGTAGAGTGCCTTGGCATCACAGCTCACAGCATCCTCAAACTCTTGGGCTTAAGCAATTCTCTTGCCTCAGCCTTCCAAGTAGCTGGGACTCAAGTGCCTACCACAACACGCGGCTATTTTTGTTGTTGTTGCGGTTGTCCTTGTTGTTTTAGCTGGCCCAGGCTGGCTTTGGTATATGTGGCTAGCACCGTAACCACTGTACTACAGGTGCCAAGCCCCATCTGTTAACTTTTTAAGAATGTCACCTGTGGCCTGTGCCATGGACTTCCTGTTTGCGTGTCTTTTCCTCTGGCTTTTGTGTGCCGAGCTCTCCGTGACAGTCTCTGTAGAACCTAGTTGAGTACAGATTGCTTTGGTTGTGTTATGGAACGCTTTTATTTCTTGATGTAATTTTATTCACCTTCTATTAAAGAAAAAAATAGGAGTTATGGTAAAGTAGATACACTTTGAGCAGCTATAATCTTATCTCCAGTATCTGAAACTCCGCGTTTTTCATTCCTTTCAGATAAACCAAGAAAACTGGTGTACAATAGAGCCATGCCCTGATGCAGGATCTCTTTTGACTTCCAAGCCGAGCCCAGGTAAGCAGAGATTTTCCGTCCTTTTTTAGAACTGTGGTCCCAGTCTAATATCAGATCATTTTTTTAGATTTCTGCCCGCCCTTAGCATTTATGCGATAATTCAGGGAAAGGGATGTATGTGATGTGGGTTTGTGTGTTGTTCAGGTTTTGTCTCATGAAGATGAGCATATGCAGTTGCCTTAATTTCATTGTAGTAGTAGCAGCAGACTTCATATGAGACTTTGTGAAAGTACCTGTGCTGTAATATACATGACATAGATTTTTCATCTGGTACAGCTATAAATACATTATTGAGGACTAAATCTGTAGTTCGGTTTCAGCTGCACATTAGAATTACCCGGGTGAGCAAGCTTTAAAAATATCCTGATGCTTGGGTCCTACCTGCAAAGATTCTGATGGGTGAGGTATGACATGAGCACCAGATCTTTATAAGCTCCTTTGGTTACCCTTCTCTCTAGCCAAGGTTGAGAGCCAGGACACTTTGGAAGTGTTGTCAGGGATTCAGTTTGTAGAAAGCAGAGAAAGCTGCTCCTGAAGTCCTTGCTTGTTAGTGACACAGCACCTGACTTGCGGTTAGTTAGGATTCTCAACTTCAGTTTCAGCTACTAACTCTGTGACATAAGCATGTCCCTGTGTCTGTTCCTGTAGCTGCTAAGTGAATACTAATAATATGCATTCTGGGTTTTTCAGTCCACTTAACTTCCAAAGCCTCTGTTTACCTTCCAGATTTTTACTTTGCTTTAAAAATTATCAAGTCTTTCTCATGTGCTGATCATTTTAGAAACAGTTTAGCTTCAGATACCCTATAGTAATATTACATTTAAAAACCCACTGTTTAAATACCCTGTCTTCAGAGAGGTTTCCTACTAATTCTCAGCTCTCTGAGTTAACTACAAAGAAAGTGTTTTTCTGACTTTTTGAGGGCAATTAAAGGATATTTCATGCTAAACTGTCTTTAGGGTCTCCACATCTTCACAGGTTTAGCTGACACTTCCCCTTTCAGCCCTCTAGAATCATCTACTTACCACTTACTATGTTTTGATTCCCTGAACCTAAGGCTTTTCTATAAGTGTAATTGCTCCCAGCCACCCATGTGGTGAAACTTCCTGCCAAGTGAAGGTTAAATGAGGTGGTGTCACAATTTGAATATTCAGAAAGAAAGATCTCCATACATTATATAGTTTAATGTGCTCATTTAGAAAAGTAATTTCGGAACTCTTGCACATTTTCTTTGGGGCATAACTTTGAATTTGTTAGTCACCCCTCACATCCTAAGCCCAAGCATAAGCATTGTGGTCTTTTTAGAGTAATTATTTCTAAATCTCACTTTAACAAAATCCATTGTCTGGGTTATGCTACCTTATTTAAGATCCGAGATTTTGAATTTACGTAGAGTTTTTTTATGAATTCCATATACTTTGTCTTACACATTTTTTTCTTTCACTTTATGAACATTTTCTCAAGAGAACAACTGCATTAGGCCAAGTAAAAGAATATGTTTTTAAATCACTTTGTATGCCTTTGACTACTGAATAAATACGAAGATAAGTTTATGAGTGGCGTGGTTTCCCAAAGCCCCGTGGATGTTGCTGGTGTGTTTTCTACCCTTCCCCGGTTATAGTTTATTTGCATGTATATCTTCTTATACCCAAATGACTAGTTAACATTTCAAAAAGCATATGTTCTGGTAGCCTTTCAAAAGCTAATGCTCAGTGCACAAAAATTATAGACAGATTTATATATGGATCATAAAGCAGGACTGGCCCTAGCTGTGTCCACTTTCAGGGTACCATCATTTGGATACTTACTAATACATTAAAGATTAAGGAAGCCTTAATGTCATCAGGCACCTCTACCAACATAGCTTTGTGCTGAAGACCAGAGTTCTGGTTACTATATATGTTATCTACTGGTCACTACATCTCTTTTAGGGGAGGTACTAATCATCCCCTGTATCTGGTGTGGTCACGGAGACACACAGGTTCAAATGATTTCTTTCCTGGGATCCTTATTCTAATAAGTAGTCAGACCTAGATTTAAGCCAGGTTAGTCTGACTCTCACACCAGTGTGCTCTGTGCTCTTGTTTACACTTTGATGTGCTGCTCTACTGTATGCATTAGGAAGGGCGTGTGTAGGAAGAAAGGGTTTTATAAATTTGAAAAATTTACGGAGACAGGTGCAGCAGGGTGTGGAGTGGCTTTGCCTTCAGGGATTGCCCCCTGGTGGTGGTGCTGCTGCTACAGCACCTTATGGTCGTCCTCTCCCACTAATTTTTTTCCATATTCTTCCCTCATCCCCACACCAACAGCCAGCATTATCTCACACAGCAGACTCTTCTTATCCCAAACTTGGTTTGTGGTCCCTTGTAGTGCTAGCTCAGATCCATTTTCTGAGTGAGGTATTCCTACCAGGGCTGAATCTGGATCTTCCCCATGAATTTTCCATTAGAATATCTTGAGCTGGTGTGTTTTCCAGCCTGGGATTTGGACGTGGTCTGTGAGAATGCCAGCTGGACAGCTAACAGCTCAGTGTAACTGCTGTGACAGCCTTTTCTTTGCTCCGCCAGCCCCCCTATTTTTCCCTCAACCACAGAATGGAGTTTTTGAATTTTCCGAGTGGGGGAAAGGGAAGGAATAGAAAGATCACACTAATAGTACCCAATTTACTGTGTACTTTATGAAATGAGTGGGGGGAACCTCCAAAATACCCTGATTTGTAGACTCCTAAAGGCAGGGCTAGTCCCACTGAACTGACGCACTCTAAAATAATTTGAACCAAAGCTAAAAAGTACTACAGCCATTTTTTTTTAACTGAAAGATTTGCAGATTAATCCACGGTTCCTGCCTTACTTCCTGTGACATTTTTTGTGTAATTCTGTGTTGAAATTGTCTCTTAATATGTTCATTTCTACCACAAGACTGTGAACCACCATCCCCCATAAAACCTGAAATGGCTCTTTTTGTATTTGGATACTTGCCACTGCCTACGCAGATGCCTAACTAGTAGAAAAGGTGACTTTATTGAGAAGTGATTCATGACTTACATCAATATGATATTACCAGGGCAAGCAATTTATTGATAATCAATTATTAATTAACAGTTAATTTAAATAAGAATGCCTCTTTGTCTTTCAATACACATACACACAGAGCTACCATCCAAGAATAGAATCTAAAAACCATAGGCATTGGAAGTTAGCTAGTCCAATCTCTGCTCTTCCCCTCTGTATAGATATCTTTTCTATAATATCTTGATAGAGTCATTGTTTTTTAAATTTGAGATTAATATGGGGGTACATATGGTTTGGTTACATAGTTTGCGTTTATACGGTTAAAGTCTGAGTCGTCGCTGTGTCCTCACCTAGGAATTGTGCAGTATACCTGTTAGGTGAGCGCTTACCCATTCCTTTCCCTCTTTCCCCTGACTGATAGTCATTTGGTCTCTGCTCCAACCCTTGTGGTAAGTTGATACTCACTGCCTTCTGAGGCTGCCCAGCCCATTGCTGTGACTCCTGTTGCAGTGAAAGTCAGTAGCTTACACTCCTTCATTTTTGCTGTGTCCCTGGAGCAGCACAGAGGGAATCTAAGAGCATTTGTAGGCAGATTCTTATCCAGTTTCTGTGCCAGCTGAGTGTATCAGGTGTTGGCACTGTTGTGATTGCATCATGAGGTGCACATTTTTATTTGTCAGTGTTCAGATTTAAATGTTATTTCAGAATAAGCCACTATCCTGTAGACATAGTCTGTACAGCACATAGTGACAGGATTGTTCCCATCTTGGATTCCAGTGCACTATTAATAGAGCCTAAAACAGTGTTTTTGTGTTTTGCTGTCATCTTGTATCGTCAGTTCCTCTTGAATTTGCTTCAGTGAAAACCTCCAGGTAGGGTTCTCAGAAACTGCAGCCAGGTTCTCTGTTCTTCCCCTTCTCGGGTATATCTGTGTACATCTGTTCAAGTCACACAATAAAATGCTTACCAAAATGGAGGTGCATCATTCATATCTTCAGAACGTCTTGAAGGAGGTTGATACTTATCCACTAATTTATCTTTTGGATTCTTGGCTTCACCATTTGCAAATTTCTTTAAACCTGTTGTTACCAAGTCTGGCTCTTTTGCTTACAAAATTGATTAATACCTTGTTAATTTCAAGATACTAAGGTTTTAGGATTCCTCAGTGTACCAGTGTCATAGTTCTATCAGAGACCTCTCCCTTGGTTCACCAGAGTCCCCATTCTGGCTGTTGAACTGAAAACAGATTCTAGATGGTACATTTTTGTACTTAGGCACATTATTTCCCCAATATGAGATCTATTTAAAGTGAGAAAAGCTCAATTATATTTCCATTATTACCCATAAGTTTAATATACTGATGTGTTTATTAGGTATGTCCCTCCTTTGATAAGGTAATAAATTTCCAGAAAGAATTTTAATCTTAAAACAGAAATTTGCCACAAACCATTACCACATAGTTTCCTCATAACAAACTTCAGGTTTTGGTGGCAAAAGAAAAAAAATGTCCTTATTGCCAGGAGGAAAAAATTACCACACTTAGGTACCTAAATATAGATAGACTGTGATGCCAGATCATCATTGTATCATTCTGTACCTAATATAAACATGGCAAGCCCATGATTGTAGTAACTATATCAACCTAGAATTGGAATAGCAGAGCTGCAAGCTAGAATACTAATTTGATTGTGTTCTTTATAGCTTCTTTATATTGATAAAGAAAAGGAAAGAAGGTGGGAAGAAAGAGTGAGAGAGATTTAAAATGCTGGCTACCGGGATGAAAACAAATTTTATTTTTCAGAATGTGAGAACTTCTTGGGTGTTGGAGTGGACAGAGAGTGTGCCTCAACACAGGGTGCACGGAAGCTAGAATCTGGGAGCGACTCTGACCTCTTCCCCTCACCTGGTGATGAAAGGGACAGCATTGTCTTCCCAAAGGTATGGCGTGTGTGTGGTGGGGGTCGGGGTCACTGCCTTTCATTTCTGATGTTCCTGTTTGGGCTTCCCAACTCTTCTACCTCGTTCCTTCCCTTCCCTTGAGCTCATTGTCTTCACAAGACATATTTTTCCCTTAATATATAACTCCTGCTGGTAAACTGTGATCCTGCTAACCTTACAGGGTTTCACACACTCTCAAAGGGGTGTAAAGTCTACCTTTTGGAGAAGAAAACTTCAGACTGCTAGGGTTTATGAAAGGGTGTTGAGCAGATTATCTATATTCTGCAGAGTATCATAGCAGGTTTTGAAGTTCACAGTGAAGTCTAAAGAAATGGAAGTTCCTTTAGAATGAATTAAGTCAGATGACACTGAACACTTTTCAGTGGGTGGGAAGGAACCGCAGCTCAGACAGTATTGATGTCATGCTTATAAACTAACCATGGAGTCATTTCTGATGAATGTGTTCAGGCCTGAAGCTTGCTGTTGAGCATGATGATATCACCTCTCTTCATCTAGCCTTTTTAATTGGAACTTTCTAGGTAGGGAAAGAACTTTCTGCTAGGGAACCCAAGCTTTCTCCATAGTGAAAAGCTCGTCTTCATGAAGCAGCTCATGAAGCTGAGGTTGTCTAAGGGAGTGGGGGATGGATGCGGATTACTTTCTTTTGTTTGTATTTGTTTCTGGTTGCAGCAAGTTCTGTTTTGTTCCCTGATAAAAATAGAGGGCTTTCCCACAGCTGAGACAGTTAATGGTACTCAATTATACACTTTCGTAATAGTAAGGGGGCCACAGGGCAGAAACATTGTGGGAGCTGAGAGGAAGACCATTCTTCTGATTTTACGATGACGTTGGAGAAGTGGTGAGAGCAGTTATGTTAGTGGGTGTTTAAATTATCCAAGGTGGTGTGATGTTGCTATGTTTAGAAGTTGTAAGGATGGAGGCTGGAACATAATGCCCCTCTGTAAATGTATCCTGTGTGCCTTCCTCTCATTTTTGGCCTCCCTAACCCTTTCCTGCCTTGTCCTTGCTCCTGTGCTCATTATCTTCCAAGGTCCCTGGAAAGATTTATGGTGCAGACTTCAGGATTTCTATCGTTGTTACTCATTGTGAGTTGAGTATGAGGAATTCTATTAAGTAAAAACTCCACACGTTGGGAAGATCTACTCTTCTTTGTAAGATTAAGAAGAGGGATGTCAATAGGGTGTTGTTGTTTTTAATATCAGAGTTTGTGTCATTTCCACCGTGACCTTGAGGTTTTAAGGCAATACCCTCGTGAAGGTCTCCAAAAACCCTGCTTTTCGTCTGAGTTCAAGCTTTAAAATGGAATCATTGATTATCATTGAAACTAGATCATGGCTGCACAGAGATTTGTTTAACATTTATGTGTGTTTGAAAATTTTCATAGTAAAAGTTTTTTAAAAATTTAAAGTATCTCTTTGTAAAAAATACTTGGCTTGCCATCTCCTAGGTACATGGTAGCTTGTCCCTGGATATTACCGTCTCTGAAGAATGATGGCTATTTCTGGTCTGAGTACTGACCTGAGTTCTTTAGATATTTGATCTCATTTCCTGTGCTTAGCAACCTTGACGGGCAGGTGGATTTATCCCTATTATTCCTGTGAGGAAATAGAGGTTCTGGTTGGTAAAGAAGTTTATCAGAATTACTCAGCAGAAGAGTAACAAAATTGAGGTTTGCACAGTCTTGACTCTAAAATCTGTTCTTTTTTTTTTTCTTCTTTTTCCTTTCAGTCTCAAAAACTCTGCTGTAATAATAGGCAGTGATTTATATAGAAGCCCAACACTGGCAGACAGACCAGCAGATGCTTCCTTAAAAGTCTTCCTCAGTGGTCACCCGCACAGTATGTGCTGTGAAATACCAGAGTGTCTAGAGTTGCTTCCCAAAGTCTTAACCCTCTTCGCCTTCCTTTTATAAAAAGTAATCTGTAGGCAAGACGTTTCAACAGCCTTTTCTGTGAACCATGAGTGGTGCATTAGGTCACTTCCTGCAGCCATTGGTGTGACTGTGGCCTGACAGAGGTCTCTGTAATGGCCTGTAATGTTGGTTATGAACTTTTCACCTCCAGCTTGTCTTTCAGTTGCCCCCTGGTAAATAGGACTCTTTGGTGAGTGTTAATGAGCCTCGTGTTTATTCTTATGAGTATTAGCTGGTTCCTAAGGTCAGTCTTTTTCTCAGGTCAGCAGCATAAAAGTTAGATTTTATTTTCAAAGTGAGAAAATTCTGGGATTCTTTTTGGTGCTAGCCTAATGAGAAAGTATGGTCATGATCTAGGCCACTCAGCTATCCAAAAGCATAATTAAAGTCCACAGGAGATATTAATAATTGCTGCCTCTTTTCCCCCAGAGAAGTAAATCAAAACCTTTACACTTTTTCTCCAAGTAATAAGATGTATCTATCATTGATTAAAAAACCAAAGTAACTTTTTCTAAGATACTAAGTTTTTCTAAGATAACCTTAAAGTAACATCTTCTGTAGTGAAAGCACTTGATCACCAAACCAAAAATTTATCTTTTTTTCATTAAACCTACTAGGGATCAAAGTAAAGGAGTTTATAGAATTCAAAGTTGAGGGCCAGGTGGTGCGGCTCATGCCTATAATACTACCTCTCTGGGAGGCTGAGGGAGGAAGATCCCTTGAGCTCAGGAGTTCAGACCAGCCTGAGCAAGAGTGAGACCCTGTCTCTACTAAAAATAGAAAAATTAGCCAGGAATCACGGTGGATGTCTATAGTCTCAGCTACTTGGGAAGCTGAGGCAAGAGGATCACTTGAGCCAAAGAGTTTGAAGTTGCTGTGAGCTCGGTGAAGCTTCTGTGTGTGATGTGGAGTCATTCTAGCCCAGGCAATGGAGAGAGACTCTCAAAAAAAAAAAAAAAAATCACTTAAGAGAAGTTGTGATTGCCTGTGCACAAGTACTGAAATAATTAGAATTTTACAACTGTGAACCAGGAATAATGTTTGTTATCAGGTGATTAAGATGCCTAATAAAATATTTTATATAAATGGATGATGTGATTGCCATGTATTAGATGTTTAAAATGGTGAGCTGTTATTTTGCAAAGCACATAGTAGAGTGTCTTACGTGTTACACAATTATATATTAGGTGAATAAATGAAAATTAAGAGACTAGAATTTTGGCAGTATTAAGCATGACGGGCTTCAGGTATAGCAATAAGATATAAAGTATACCATAGTTTTTATATTTTTTATGTATATTAGCATGTATAGTGTTTATACCTCTTTATACACATATATCCTACCTGTATAATGTAATTCTGATTGAGAAAGCTAGTCAGGCATTGTCCCCTAACATTTTATTATGAAAATATTGAAACATATAGAAAATTTGAGGAAGTGTACAGTGAACAATGGGATATACCCACCACTTAGATCCTGCAGTTATTAATGACCTTTTTGGATTTGCTTTGTTACCTGACTGTAATATGTATCTTGCCATCCTTCCATCCACTCACCAGTTCACATAAATTCTTTGATGCATTTCAAAATGAGTTATAAATATCAATATACTTTACCTCTAAACACGTCAGTATTAATTTATAATTTACAGGCCTTTTTTGTAAAATATGCATAGAGTGAAATGCACCACTTTGAGGGTACCAGGCTTTGATTTTTGATGATGCATCCATTCACCTCCATAACCAAGGCCTGCATCAGCAGGTGGGCTGTCAGAGTTTCCTTGTGCCCTCATTCAAACCCCTAGAGCAACAACTGTTTTGACTTTTTTCCCCCATCAGATTAGTTTTCCCTTCATATAAATGGGATCTAAATAATATCATTTCTCTTTGAATAAATACCTAGGATTAGAATTGTCAGATCATGTGGTAGGTGTAGGTTTGTTTCTAAGAAACAGACCTTTTTCCAAACCTGTTATACCGTTTTTCATTCTAATCAGTGATAGGTGAGAGGTCTGGTTGCTCCTTTATCAACATGCATAATTGTTTTATTTTAATTTTAGCATTTCTGGTGTGCATGTAGTGGTCTCTTGTTATGATTTTGATATTTTCTGTTTAAGTCATGATGTTCAACACATTTTGTTTATTGACTACTTGAAAGCCTTCCCTTATGGAGTGTCAGTTCAAGTCTTTTGCCCAAATTTGATTGTTTTTTTATTGTTGAGAAATAGTTCTATATATATCCTGGATACCAGTCCTCTGTTGGATTTATGTTTCATAAATATTTTTTCCATCTGTGCCTTGCCTGTTCACTTCTGTAATGGTGTGCTGAAGTTTTTCATTTTGTTGAAGTGTAATTTATTAATTTTTTATAGTTACTATTTCCTATCCTTTTATTATTTTGCCTAACCCCAGTGTTGATGTTTTCCTTTGGGAGTTTTATAGTTTTAACTTTTACATTTAGGACAAGGAGCCATCTCATTTTTTCCCCAAACATTTTAGTAATGGCTGTATGGTTTATAGCAGTAGGATCCAGTCCTCGCCATACCTAGAATCGTCTGGACCTTAGACCAGTTAATTTGGAATCTTGAGTATTATTTAATTACACTGAACCTCAGATTTCTCACCTATAAAATGGGAATAACGATACTTAATTGAATCGTTGCAAGGATTTAAAGAAATAATACATATATCTAAGTCACTTAGTGTAGAGCCCCACATGAGATGATTAGCCACTAAATAATTATTATTCACATTTGTGTCATAATTATTTTGTACTTATAGAGCTAAATAAGCTGATGATGCTGTTTATATAAATTCTGAGAAGCTATTACTGTAATTATTTTGTAATTCAAATCTCCGTAGTTTGAGTGAAAGTTAAGTGGATCACTGTCTTGGGTCACTGTCAGTGTGGTCCCTGCCCCCTGCAGCCAGAGCAGTCCACTGAAGACGTGCACTGCTGACGAGAGCCACGCTGGACTTCAGTGTGCTGCGCAGGGACACGTTTTCGCCAAGCATTCTGTCTTTGACTCATGGGAACTTTTGCTAGCCTGATGCCTTTTGCAGATCTTCAGTATTACACAAGCCTGAAGGAGAAAGCACTCCCAGTAGAGATGACAGTTTTTTGTGTGTTCCGTTCTTCCATATGCAGGAGGAAAACCAATTCTGAAAACTCAAGGGAGGAAGGATTTTTCTGTCAATCTCAGTCATAATTTTCCCCAATGTATTTTCTTTCCGACACACATAATTCACACCCCCCTCTCTCTGTTTGTCTTTCCAGGTCTCTTTCTTTGTCCTAACCAAATCTTAATATATACCTGCCTAACAGCTGATATTGGGGGCAGGGGAGGGGAGGCGGCTTGTATTTAGCAGAGAATTATGTTTTAATCATCTGCTGAAAAGATTTGTAATACTATATATCGTCTACTTTTGACTCCAAGAAAATCAATTATCTTTGTTATACTGATTTCATGGCACCGTTGCTCCAGACAACCAAATAATATCCTAAGTTCCAGGAAAGTTATTTAATTAGGAGACATCATAAAATAAATGATCTCTTTACAGAAAGACTGGCAGATGACTGAAGAACTCTTAAGAGAAACTTCACATCTCAGGGGTGGAGCATTCTGGTATATGTTAGAAGCCATAACTTTTTTTTTTCTGATACATAATGGATGACAGCATGTGTAAAACTCTTTTTTTCTTTTGCGGGGGGGGGGGAAGACAAGAGAAAGGGGGAGGTAATAGTTTACATATTTCTTATTTGGCAGATCTCGCTTAAGAACTTCAGCACTAATAGATTTGGGGGACTAGAAAGGAATTTTCTTTCAAAAAAAATTCAGTTTTTAACAATTCTGCCTTTTTTCCTCTATCGTCCACGATTGAAATAGATAATACCTTTCAGCAGGGTTTATATTAATTTCTAACCTCATTTGATCTAATTTAAGTCACATTAGATGGCCAGGCAGCGTGAAGAAGTCTAGCTTTTTTTTTTTTTTGAGACAGAGCCTCAAGCTGTCCCCCTGGGTAGAGTGCTATGGCATTACACTCACAGCAACCTCCAACTCCTGGGCTCAAGCGATTCTCCTGCCTCAGCCTCCCAAGTAGCTGGGACCACAGGCGCCCGCCACAACGCCCGGCTATTTTTTGGTTGCAGCCGTCATTGTTGTTTGGCGGGTCCGGGCTGGGGATTCGAACCCGCCACCTTAGGTGTACGTGGCTGGCGCCTTAGCCAGTTGAGCTATAGGTGCCGAGCCAAGAAGTCTAGCTTTATGAAAGCTGTGACTGCAGTGTGGGTTTGATTTTTGGTGAGGCCACTGACTGTTTTCTGTAGGAATAGTATAAAACTTGATGAAATTGAGAAGTCCTTTTGAGAACACTTAAAGGTCTTGGGAACACATAATTTATAGCTGCCTTCAGATTTGGTCCAGGGTTAATGAAAGTCATTTGCATTAGTGCATAATAACTGACCTCAGTTCTGAGTTTCGTCCTGACTTTCCTACTTCAAGTAATAACCATCAGCTTATAAGAGCTGCGTGATACAGTAAACATACTTGAATGTAAGAATATTATTCTGCATGAACCTTACTCTTACCAGGAAAGCAGGGCTGAAGAAAGCATGTTGTTGGAGTGAAAACTCCTGAGTATTTCTCATTTGAGATCAGTGAGGAGCACACATCAGGAAGAAAGACTGACGAGGACATATTTTAGGAAAATGTCTTCTGCTAAAGTGTGCATAAAAAGACCACCAAAGATCTTCCCATTTTACTTTAATGTCTTGCAAAAAGATACGTTATGAGTTTCCGATTAGTAAACTGCTAGAGAGATAGCATGTCCCTCCAGGACATGGTGCCAGAGTGAAGAGTGCTGTTCTGCTGTCTGGGAATTACTTTCAGACTGGTAAGATGTAACTTCTCAGAAGAACACGTGATGGATAGATAAATGGAAACTTTAGGGAGCTTTTGTTTCTTTTGAAGCTTATTTTGTGTGTTCTAGAACAGACTTGTCCCACTTTTGCTTTATTGATATCCAGTTTGTCTCTTAGCTATGGTTTTGAGAATTAGAAATTTAGGCAGGTAAGGGCAAGTGTGTTAGTTTCTTGGAGCTGTCCTAACAAATTACCATAAACCACATGGCCTATTCTCTTTATTCTCTCAAAGTTGTGGAGGAGAGAAGTCCTACAGTCAGCGTGTCATCAGGGCTGCTTTCCTTCTGGGGCTCTGAGGGACAGTCCGCCTCATGTCCCTCCCTGGTTCATTGGCAGTCCTTGGCGTTCCCCAGGTCATAGGTGCTTTCCTTCCGTCTCTGCCTGTCTCCTTCCTGTGTGTGCCTGTGTCTCCTCCCAAGAACACTACTCCAGTGGGACCTCATCTCACCAATTACCTCGGCAAAGACCCTATTTCAAAGTAAGGTCCCATTCTGAAGAGGACACTGTTAGTACAGGGAGAAAGCAAAGGCATTCTAGAAGCATCTGAGATTGGAACACATGACCCTTTACACCGTGCTCTCTGGACAGTGGCCCCACAAGTAGGAACCCTTCAGGATACCTCCATCAGCCTCTAATTAACATAAAAAGAATAGTCAATGATTCTGTTTTAAAATGATACCCAATTTTAGAAGTTACTTTGTCCACATCGTTTTATTTTATGGTGTGACCCTGTGCAGGAACTTTCTGGAGACTGACTTGAGATGACTGAGATAACACAACAGGGCATTTGGGTCGACGTCAGCCCGGGTTCCAGTCTTGATTTTGCTGCTCATGCCATGCACTTGGGACAGTCCGTTGGACAACGTGGGCCTTGGGTTTTTGACCTGTCCAGTGATCTCCTTGCATCTTCTCTCTTAATCGCATTTCACACTAAGTTTAAAAGCAATTTAAGGAATCTGGATTCTTCAGACTAGGAAAACATCTTATAGTAGCTGGCAGTATTCAGCCTGAAAGACATGAACAGTGCTTTAGAAGGTGGCATGCTTTTTGGATGTTCTGTTACACCTTTAAAGAGGTTCTCCTTGTAGTGTAGGGCTTGCTTTCTGTTCCAAACTGAAAGAGCTGTTAGTTCTCTTTTTAATCTTCCTCAAAGAACCATACATTTCTTCATTCTTAGTTAAAACATTGAGTAGACTAGCTAATTAGGAAAATATTGTGAAAAATGAAAAAAATTACAGAATGCCCTTCCCTGTTCTCCTATTCGCTGAGCCCCTATTGGTAATGGGATAGGTCCTGCATAGGAACGAAGAGTGTGACCGTGCATCCTAGCCGTCTCTTTATCCTTTGGCCTTTGGATGCCATGAAGCTCATCTTTCCTTCCCCATCAAATGATGTGTCCTGGTTCTGTCAACAAGTAGAGACAACAAATGGCTTCTACACTGTTGCACAGCTCCCATTAGGCTCTAGAGACTGGCCAGGGTAAGAGCATCATCACTTTCTCAAAGACCTCACTGCCAGGACTGATTATTTAATGTCTGATATGTCTTTATAACACTCACTCAATTCTCAGTGAAATGAGAAAGAGGAATAGTTTTCCTCCTTTTAAGTATCTGTGACAGATATGTAGGTATTTGTGGTAAAGTTCAGGTTGGGTCATCAGCTATTCTTTGTTTTTCAAAAGGCAAAAGCCATCACAGACTTGCTTTTGGAATGTTAACTTCACATTATTGTAGCCAAGCAGACTGCTTTATTTACAGTTAAACGTGTGGAAAAAATTCAACCCAATACGATATGAATGTAGAGTTTTCCTAAGGCAGAAACCCCAGACAAAAGGATTCCCTTCATTTTGCTTGATGGTATTGACTTGAAAGAACTGAAGTAGGTTAGATTTTTTTTTTTTCCCATTTGGAAGAAAGAAAAAAAAAGTACTTTTCTAGCCTAGTACCTATGGTAGGATAGAAAGAGGCTAGAGCTAGGCCATTTGTTTACTAGAGGCCAGGAGGATTTGAATCCAGCTGTGACCATGGTTTAAAAACAATATCTATCTGAAGCCAGTTACAATCATGTCTGTCTGGGACCCAGTGTGCAGCCATCGTCTTGATCTGGACTGACTGCAGCCATCTGCTGGGTCCTGCTTGTTTCAGCCATGTGTGTTTTCTCTGCATTACAGCCCGAGGATGAGCAGTTGGCATGTGATATCACCGGATCCAGTTCTTCCACTGATGACACAGCTTCCCTGGATCGACATTCTTCTCACGGCAGTGATGTGTCCCTCCCCCAGATTTCAAAGTCAAATTGGTCCAAAGATCAGCAAAGCCTGGATGGCTTCTGCAGTCATGGGGGGGGAGCTGATGGTCGAGAGAGTGAGAGTGAGCCTGCAGGCCCAGGTGACGTGGAGGAGGAGGAGATGGACAGCATCACAGAGGTGCCTGCGCACTGCTCCGTCCTGCGGGGCTCCATGCGCTCTCTATCCCCCTTCCGGAGGCACAGCTGGGGTCCTGGGAAAAACGCAGCCAGTGATGCAGAGATGAACCAGCGGAGGTGAGACAGAGGCTCTCTGCTCAGTGTCTTAGTACCTGCTTGCTTTTGAGAAGTTTCTGATTTGGTATTGTTAATATATGAATTTAGGAGACACCATGTTTTAGAAAAGAATATAGGGTTTGGAATCAGGAAAATCTGTGCTCAAACTCCAGCTGTATATTTTACTGTGGAGAGGACCTTAGACAAGTCATTTGATGCTTCTGAGCTTTTAATTTTCTCATCTGTAAAACACTTTTATTTTTGTTCATAGTAATACAGTGAAATATGACTATCATATAGTATTTTATAAATGATAATTCTTATTCTTACCAGATTTATTGATATTCATGAATTAGATAATATTGGAATCATATCATGTCAGTTTTGAATTAAGAAGTAGACACGAAATCTTACAGTCTGAACACTAAGTTTTTCAAAGTACTAAGAGTTAAAGCCTCTGTTTTTAGATGTCAGAACATTAGAACAAGCCATCATGCCTGCTGTATTTACAAGAGTGCTTGTTTGAAAGCTTCTTTAATTATATGAAAATAGCTAAGCGGGGGAGGTTGACAGTTGCTCCAAAATAATTGGTATAAATAGCTGAGCTGGACCAATTATTTGCTTAGTTTTCTCTTAAATTCCTCGACCTATCTTATGGCCATAAGTACATGTAAGCTAATCACATTCACTCATTCTTTTGTTCGGCCAATAGTCAGGGTAGCAGAACACTTACTGTATGTCAGGTGCTGTTGTAGGTCCTAGAGATACAGAAGTAAACAAAATCCCTGCTTTTGTGGAGCTCACAGTGCCTTCTGTGCCTTCCTAAATTGCTAATTTTCTCAGAACCCTTTTTTTTTTTGAGACAGAGTCTCACTATGTTGCCCTCGGTAGAGTGCTATGACATCATAGCTCACAGCAACCTCCAACTCTTCGGCTTAAGTGATCCTCTTGCCTTAGTCTCCTGAGTAGCTGAGACTACAAGCACTCGCCACAACACCAGCTATTTTTTGGTTGCACTTGTCACTGTTGTTCAGCTGGTCTGGGCCATCGTTGAACCTGCCAGCCTCATGTGGCCAGTGTCCTACTCACTGAGCTGTGGGTGCCGAGCCTCAGACACTTTTTAAAACACATTTTCTCACGTAATTTTTCAACCCTCTCCATGAGTCAGGTGGTATCCCCTGTTGGCAGATGAGAAGACGGCTGCAGGTAGTTTACATCCGTTATCCCAGGGCAGTGGAGTCCAGGCATCTGGTTTTTCCAGTGTTTTTCAACCTTTTTTATCTCACAGCGCACCTGAACCTACAGTTAAACTTCCATGGCACATTTAAATTTGTTGATCAGAAAAAAAGTAAATATGTATATATATACACACACAAACACACTTCACTGTGCTTTGAACTTCTTTGAAAAATAATCTTTAAAAATTTTCGCAGCACACTGGCTGAAAATTACTGGCTCTTCTATAATTCCATGTTATTCCATGGTGGCGATCAGGATGCCAACCATAAAAATAAGCAGTGTACTTTATCTGCGAGGTACTTTTTGTAGACATACAAGATGCTAGACGATAGAAAAAGCAATTTCTAAACACATCTTCCCTGTTCTGTTGATCTTATACTTTTTTTTTAATTATGGCATTTACATTAGAAATATGTAAGGATAGCCAGAATTCTCTTCCTGAAGCAAGGGTACCTTCTTGACAGAACATGCTTGCCATAGGTGGTAATAGCATCAAGGAATGAGGGTTAACTTGTATATAATCCACCTTTCCTTGTAACCCATGTGGTGGATCCCCTTGTTAAGACTTTGGTTTTACAGCTGCCTATGACTGCATTGATTATAGTGCTCAGATGAGGAAGTTGAAGCTCAGATTAAATGATTTGCCAAAGACTCCATGGTGATTTTAGGACTCAATTGAGATCAAGACCCTGTTACCTAAATTATTTATATTTTCAGCCTGCGTATTGTTATGTTTGAACATAGCATTAAAGGGTTACTTGGCACCACTATCTTGATACTTCAGAGATAATGAAATGAGAGTTAGGTTTTATTTATCACTTTAATCTGTTCGACTAATTCTTAACAGTATTACCTGAATATAATGCGACCTGAATTTTAGATTCTTAAGAAAACCCTTCTAAAGTTTTGAATGGTAATGTTATTCCTGATCCTTTTATAATGTAATAAGCTTCATAATTTTTATCATTTACTTTACTCATTAAAGCGAGGTGAGAGCAAAGTGGCCTCCACAGGCATCGTCAGGGCTTTTTGGTTCTGACATTTTTTATTCCACATTCTTTCATTCTCTGACCTCCTGTGCCTTTTCTTTTTAGAGATTGTCTCTTTCCAGTGTGGTGTCTGTATGTTTCATGCATTTGTATCCCATTTTGTTTCACCTGTAACACTGACCTCTTCCACTATTCATTTTCAGTTCAATGCGAATTCTTGGGGATGTTGTCAGGAGACCTCCCATACATAGGAGAAGGTACAGAGTTCACTAACTTGATGGATTAACCATGTCATCTCTGAGCATATATTAATAACTAACAAGCATCTCATTCTGCTTTTAAATAATTCTAGTTTTAAATAATGTCACGTCTATTTCAGGCAAATAAAATATGGATATTAGTTGCTGATATTTATTAGTTGCTAATGTCCATTTCATATGAAAGTGTTGCTTCAATTTGGAGTTTCATCCTATTTTTTTATTTCTCTAAATTTTTAAAAAAGCTTTTTCCATCTTGCAGTATTGGTGTTTAGGTAACTTTGACAATAGGATCTTACCCAAATTTTTTCTAGGAGAATTAAGAGAATTGTCTACTTTATGCCTATTTAATGGACCTGAGAAGTACTATTTTTTTCTCTCCAAAAAAGAATCAGAAGTTCACAGGCCCTAACATATTTTCAAAACATTCTTTAATAACATGATAAAAGACTTTATTAACTAAGCCATTCGGCAGTTTCTGTTCCATGGTTGATGTAGTCATTTCTTAAAGCAAATAAGAGGCATAAGTTTATCTCTCAGTCTTTGAATTTCTTAATTATTACTTGTCAGGTAGTATTTTTAAAACATAAATAACATAAAAACATGAATAAGTCATTTACAAGTTGAGAAGTCATTGCTATTCACAGAGTGCTGATTTGCCTTAACTCTTCTGAATGCTGAGTTGTGTTTTACTTGTACCAAAAGGTACCAGTGACCTTTTCTTGCATTGTTTGGAAAGATATTTAGAAGTCCCAAAATTAAGATTATTACTATCAGCTTCTCATAGTGGGAGACACTTGTAAAGACATGTTCTTAACTATTAGCTGAATCTGTTTTTTGGAAATGGGCAAATGATCTTTCCTATTTTGTCTTTTTCAAGTGAATGTTCTTGTTAATTCTAGATTTTAGGCAAAAATTGAGCTTAAATTCAGATATCCCCACGAATTTCAAAGAATCATGACTCCTGTTAAGTTACTTTTCCAGGGACCAGTTGTTAAATGCCTTTTTCAGTCGAAGAGATCCAAAACCTTGGGAGACAAACACTTGCCTGGCTCTCTCACAGCTCTCGCTGTTAACTTCCCAGACGATCCCTGGGTGACACGGTGGCAGGCGAGTTGCTGCGTACAGTCTGACTGAGTTAGCATGTAGGTGGGCTGTCATAGACAACTCAACTACAATCTCACCCTTAGTGAAACCTATTTTGTGTAGGAAGAATGTTATCTGTGATTTAATATATTTTCAATTGAAACATTCATACAAACAGTAAAAGGGAAAAGATGTGTTTATTGAAAACATCTAGAACTCTAAATGTTAAAGATGAGGAACCACTAAATGTTACCTACACTAACTGAGGAAATGAGGATACTGTCAAAAACCCTTTCCATGTTGAAAGGAGTTTTCTGCTGCAAGGAAGAGCAGACGTTGGAGCCCACCTGCAACTTCCTGGCTCCTTGGAAAATTTGCTATTATATCTCTTCCTATCTCTTGTTGCTCTTCATCCCCTTCCTCTTAAATTTCATCCCAGTCTTTAATATGACTGTTACATTCTGAGAGAAGAAGGGACACTTAAATCAGTGGGAGGTTATTTTTAAGAATGATAGTTTGGCAAATGTATGTGTAGTTATTGGTGTGCCAAATTCTGTTCTTTAAAAGATGTCAAATATTTAGGTAGAATAGGTCCATTTAATTAGCCAGAGATTTTAAAATGAAGTTAATTTCAGAGAATGGACTTCTGAGTCTTGCGTATGTTTGTAACCTGTATCTTCCTTTTCCTAACACAAGTAAATTGAAAGTGTGTGTGATCCACCTTACTAAACTTATGAGGGGTCTCGGCTGTGCTGCTTTTGCACTTGTGAGCTGTATGTTATTAGTGTAATCTCATCAAAAATTATTTATATTGTTTAAATTATTTTTAAATGATAAAACTTTTACAAGAGCCATAGGGATGGCCCCCATATCCTTCTACCATTTTCCTTGTCTCCTTCCTCTGCCAAAACCCCACTTGATAGCAAAACAAAGTTATTAGCAGTATCCAGTATTCAAGACAGGTTTTTTGGTATCTGCAGGCCTTTCCATCTGCAAGGTGCTTGAGGGAGCTGAGTGATTTTTTTACTGTCCAGGAGCTCTGTTTTAATCCCTTTCTGAAAATAACAGCAGTATTTTCCAAATTGACTTAGAACTTGAAGACCCAAATAGCACTATGTTTTTTGGATGATAGCTTTTGTCAGTCAAAAATCCTGCCCTTCTGATGCAGTTCCCTTCACATAGTGCCCTATATTTTGAATGGGTTACTTTTTTTATCTTGTATTTACTTAGCATTTCCAATCCCAGATTTTCTGTCCCTGCCACCTGAGAGTAGATATCAGTACTGCAATAATCAAAGAAGATGATCAAAGGGATTTTTTTTTTTGATCCTGTGGGAAAAGGATATAAACTTAAAAGTAGAAAGACATTTCTCAGTACCATAAAATCTTTCTTTTTTCTAGGAAAAAATAATCTCTCTTAAAGTACAAGAAAATGGCTCGGCGCCTATAGCTCAACCAGCTAAGGCGCCAGCCA